CCATAGATCCCTCTACCTCCTGCACAACAGATGGGCCAGCCTTGACAATTGAATCTGCTCATACAGTGGCTGGGATTGGGCAGGAATCCCTGCATTTGAATGCAGGAATACAAATCTCTGAATAAAATTTGAGTCAGTGTAAATACATGAAATTGTGAACATACTGAGTGAAGATCCCTCAGGGATCATCTCTCCCTGGTTGGAGGGCCCAACCCCAGCATTGATGGCTTTGGAAGCCATCGAAATGTGTTGCTTTGGGGGATGTTCCTTTGGACTTTGGGATTCTTGGGCCTCCCTTGTTGGGGACAGAGTTTGAGCTCACTTTTTTCCCCTGGCTCGCAATGGATTCTGTCAAGTTGGAGTGGAAATCCCACCTTTGGCATGGCTATATCAAATTTTGTGACTGTTGTGTGGGAAGCAGGACTTCCCAGGGTTCTTGTAGCATCAGACCTTGCATCTGTGGCATGAGTCACAGGAATGGGGGTCAGGGGAAGGCATCCTTCTGGCAGCTATGGCAGTGTGACTGTATAGTCCATCCAACAGTGGACAAGGCTTGCATTTTGATTGGCCTTGAGTGGGAACATCTTTGTCATCATTGGTTTCTGCTGTTGCCTTCCTAGAGCAGGATTGATGTCTGGATCGATGGGATGTCATTGTCAGGGCAGCTTTGCACTTCTGCCTCCCTTGCACTGGTTCTTCCTCATTGTCCTCCTTCTCTGGCACCTCATCTTCACCCTCATCATCCACCTCCATCCTGTGCAAGCTATCCACTATCATTTTCTCCACCTCTGCCTTGGTTGCTTTCTATTTTCCTTTGTCACTCATAGGCATTTCAGTCTCTTGAACAGGTGGTGTTGGTGTTGGCACCACATGGGGCATAGGGAGGCCAAACCAGTGGTAGTTGTATTGACACTCAACAATGTCAAGCCACTTGTGGTTGGTGACATCAGTTTCTGAAGGGGATAGGGCAGTCTTCCACTCAGGCCACAGGTGCTCGATCAAGCCAAGGTCTTCATGCCACTTTTAGAACATGTCAATGCTGATGAGGGTCATCAGAATCTCATCTGTCCTAGCAATGAGGCCATGTACAGCATCCTGAATGCATCAGTTAGTGAAAAAAATGTGATGATGCTATGACACACTGGTTCGTTGTGTATTGCCTTGATGGCACCTCTCCACTTTGCAATCTTGTCTGCCTTTCCCAGCTTGCTGCTTTCTGTGATATCCTTGAAGTAAATTTGAAGGGTGCAGTTGGCCACAGCATCAAGCTCAGGCAATTTCTTGAAGAGCTTGTGAGATGATGACAATGACATGTTTCTGATGACAAGACAATGGAGTAGTTTGACAGTGAGAGTGGTGATGGTGATTGGAGAGTGGAAGAGTCAGAGGTTAAAGACAGACAATGAGATATGTGGATGTCACATTTTTTATCCTGCCTATGAATGATTCCCATGGCATGACAGAAATACTGGTACAAGTCAAAAATCTTGAATGCATATATGAAGCAGAAGCTCAGATAAAAATATGATGCATTGTTCTGCAATAGCATTGCTGTTTGCTTTGTGTGTTTCCTGTCTGCTCCAATGGCAGAGCCTGGCTCACAGCTACATAGACCAGTGCCTGAGATTCCAACTAAATAGGCAAATCATCCAACATGAAACACAATTTATAGTGGGAAATTCAGATACTCTATAGTGTGAGAGGTTCCACTTTCTTCATTTCTTGTCTTCCTGGGCCTGTCTTATATTGTGACAGGGGGATAACCCAATTATGGATAGGCCTGTCCATTTGTGGTGAGCTATCTATGATATGATGGATTGGCCCATCTTATGCAGTACCAAGGGTTTGTAATCCTGTGATGGACAGATCAGCCTGTCTTATGTTGTAACACTGGTTTTTGTTTTCCCTTATCTGCTGCCTGAGAATACCATGGATGGGCCTGTCCTTGTGTAGATCCCTTTGATCTCCCTTTCTGCTGCCTGAGAATGCCTTACATGGACTGTCCTTATGTAGATAGCTTAAATCTCCCTTTCTGCTGCCTAAGTATACCATACACAAACTCATCCTTATGTTGTGACAGGGGTGCATCTTGCTAGATGGGCCCATCCATTTGTTGTGATGATATACATGATACTACTGAAGGGCCTGTCCTTATGTTGTGATGCTATTAGATGATATTACTGATGGGCCCATCCATATGTTGCAACAATATAAACAATACTACTGAAGGGCCTGTCCTTATGTTGTGATGCTATTAAACAGCATTACTGATGGGCCCATCTTTATGTTTCAACAGGGTACATCTTACTGGGGCCAGGCCCACCCATATGTTGTGACAATATAAATAATACTACTGATGGGCCCATCCATATGTTGTGATGCTATACATGAGATTACTGATGGGCCTGTCTTTATGTTGCGACAATCTAAATAATATTACTGAAGGGTCCATTCATATGTTGTGACTCTATTCAATGATATTAGTGATGGGCCCATCTTTATGTTTCAACAGGGTACATCTTACTGGGGCCAGGCACACCCATATGTTGTGATGATATAAATAATACTACTGAAGGGCCCACCCATATGTTGTGATGCTATACATGAGATTACTGACAGGCCTGTCTTTATGTCTTGTCAGAGGTACATCTTACTGTGGACAGGCCCATCCATATGTTGCATAATACTACTGACAGGCCTGACCTTATGTTGTGACTCTATTAAATGATACTAGTGACAGACCCATCTATATGTTGTGACATTATGAAATGACATTACTGATGGGCCCATCTTTATGTTGCAACAGGGGTACAGATTATTATGAACAGGCCTGTCTAGATGTTGTAACACCATAAATGATATTACTCCCAGGCCTGTCCATATGTTGTGACCCTCTCCATGTTATGATAGGCAGGCCCACCTTGATGTTGCAACAGGGGTGCAACCTACCAGGACAGGCCCATCCATGTCTTACAGCAACTCAGTATACTTGATTGGTCATGGGCCCATCTAAATGTTTCAACATCCTCACCCACTGTGGGCCCTCCCATATGTTGTGGTAATGCACTTACAGGCCCATACATATGTTGCTCTCACTTTAGTCCCTCAGGCCTGTCCATGTGTACTGGCTAATCTATTTAGGCAGGCCTGTCTTGGGGTCTATACAAGTGTTGGTGTTTTGGTGCACAGGCTGCCCATGTGTTGTGACTAAATGTGACTACACTATTTGGCACTCAAGTACTACATACTGATGACTCTAGTGTTACAAACTGAGTACACAAGATTGCTGCAATCACAGGATATGAAGAATGGGGTGACTGATGTGCTGTGTGTGAAGCACTGTGGTCATGAGCAATGGTGACTGCAGCAAGGATGACATCAGCAGTGTCTCGAGCAACAGCGAAGATGATGACAATGACTTTACTTAGCACAGATCAACAGCCATATGAGATAGGGAGAGGCATTCTATGGAGACAAGGCACAAGGAGCATGGGTACTGAGCTCAATGGCTCGAAGGTTCATTTTGGTTTTGAAACATTTTACTTATGTCTGCATTATTCTAGGGAAGCTGGCTATCTACGATGAATGGCGACTGTGATACAAGAGATGATGATGATGTTCAACACAGACCAATGGCTGCATGACACAAGAATGGCCACTCCATGGACGCAGAGTGCGATGGAGGCTACCGAGCTTGAATGCTTGAGGTTTTGTTTTGGTTTCACAGTGCTTTACTCACAGCTACCGCATTTTAGGAAATACCAAGTGCTACAGAATATCATACAGAAGCTACTGCGATTACGAGTGGTGGCAATGACAAAAGTGTGACCAATGACGACGATGATGGTTGCATGGAGTGTGGGTCAATGGCCAGGCAAGATCAGATGTGTTGTTCTATGGAGACAAGGCACAAGGATTGCAGGCACTGAGCCCAACAGCTCAAGGGTTCGTCTTGATTTCGAAATGTTTTACTTATGACTATCCTACTCTAGGGAAAATGGACATATGCAACATGGCTTGACAGAGGTCCTCGTGATCACAATTTGAGGGTCAACAATGGACTACAAACAAGTGATGGCAACAGCGAGAAGAGAAATGATGATGATGACAAGGCTTGACATGGACAGAAGACCATGCAAGGCTAAGATGGCCATCTGATGGAGATGGGGTGTGAGGAGCACAGACACTGAGCTCAACAGCTCATTGGTTGGTTTTGATTTCAGAATGTTTTACTTACAACTACCTTGTTCGAGGAAAAGTGGATGTGTGAGACAATGCTCAAATGACATCTGAGCAGCAGCGATTCAAGGAACTATGATGATCTGCCAGGAAAGACAGTGGATTGTCAGAGGGAAGCTACATGACAAGATACAATTGTGCTACTACAAATGGGGCAAGCAGTCAGGGCAAGCCAAAGGCACAAAGGAAAGTGAGTATCTATGACGAATGGAGATCGCAATGTGAGAATCTATGAAGGACTATGAATGAAGGTGTTGAACATTTTACATGTGATACTTTCTGCTTAATCTGGCATGTCATGTGATTGAGCACATCATCCTGATGTTATTCTTGCTCATATATTCTATTATGTTCCATGACTGTTCTTTTACTTAGTATAGCAAGAGAAAACCCCTTATGGTAGTTTTACTGTACTCTGATGCACTTGGTCCATGCACTGGTTTTCATGTATATATACTTCAGCACTGAGGTGCTACACCCTCAGTTTGAAATCCACTCATATTTCAACCTCTGTTCTCACAAGAACTACTCACTACCAAACCTTCTTCAAGCCTATCACCCAATTGCTAAAAGGCAAGTGTTCTGTCTTGCCTATCCCTGTGATTAGTCCTCTGCACAATTGGTTATGAGCCCTGACTTCTAGTTGGATATCTCATTTGTCTAGAGGGTCATTGGTTTCACTGGTGACAACTATAAACCATGCCTCTGGACAGCCTAGAAGCACTCAGTTGGGTGATGGCAACTTTTGTGGTGTTGCTTCTATGCAGGTTTATCCTGCAGTGTATTTCACTTGGTTCAGTCTTGTTACTGATTTCCAATCTGCCTTTTATGCTTCTGCCCTTTATTGGGCAACAGCACTTGGTGTTCCTACATGGTACCAAATCTATCAAAATTGGCTTCCTTGCCATATTCAACAGCTCCAAGAAGAGCAACAACATTTAGCTGAGGTTTTAGAACTTATTGGCATGTATCAACATGTACAAGGACTCCAATGCTTACTTCCTCCAGCTCCCAAGATTCCCAAGCAAATCATGGAGCTTCCAAATGAAGTTCCAGATCTAGAAAGGCATGAGGTTCCTGCAATGTTCCTAAATCCACCAGAACAGCCTCCACATTACCTCCTTCTTGCTATTCCTGATCAAGATGATGAAGCAGATCTTGATCTGGTTCTGTGGTATACAGAACAAGAGGAACCTATAGCTCTGCCTCCTCCTGTGCATATGCCCACTCCTGAACCAGAAATGGTTCAGGAAGTGTATGATGCTCTTGCCACTGCAGAAGCAGTTGCTGCTGAGATCAATCTCGCTGATTTAAATGCTGCAGAGTTCGAACTGTTATTTTAACCTTGTGTCTGTTCCTCTTTCTCAGATCTTGCTTTCTTACCTTTTGTCTCTCTTCTCAGAATGCCTTTCCCTCTTGCTCGTGTCACTGAGCTCTGTCTCACTGAGTCTTTTGATGAACAATTGATTCATAAATGGAGAAAGAATTTTGTAGTAAAAGCAGTTGGTTTTGTAGATGTGATTCACATTGAGGATTTTTGGGTATGGTCTCAAGCCTATCCTACATTGGTTTCCTTTACCATGCAGCTGCCTATGTCCCACTAACATGTTCCCATGTCTGTGGTCACCCACACATGATCTGACTTTCCCACATGGCCATGCATCCTTGATGATGGTGATTATGACCCTTTCTTCTATCTGCCTATTCATGTCCAGTTCCACAGACACTTTGTTGACTTCTCTCTGAAGCTTCCCTGGAACTCCACTCCCCATGCAATAGCTCATTTTAATGGCTGTGACTTACCTTCATTACAGTATGAAGATTTTGCCCTCTATACCATCCCAGCATTATCTATCACCCACAATTCCTACATCTGCATCACCACCCATGCTCATCCCTATTACATGGAAGGAAACTTCTGAGGGCTCATCCCTCCTCTCCACCTTTGGAACAAGTATCTTGAATATTGTTTCCAAAGAGCTTGGGATTCACATGCTGTTGACATCTGAGTTGTTCCCAGCACTCTCTGCATTAGAAAAAGAAGAGGAGATAGCATTGATGTGGATACACTATGCAAAGTGGGAGAGATTAAGGAGTGAGGAGATCTGGATGACTCATATTACAGATATGAAAACACTTTGGGTCATCTTTGGTGCACTGATGCCACCAATCTCCAACAATTCACTTACTGGCCCAGTTCAGCATTGGTTTTGGCTGAACTTGCACATCAGATGGAAAAGCCTAGTGAGTTGGTTGGAAAGGTATCAACTAGGGGACTATGGCATCAGAATATGTAAAGGCATATGTGGGCTAACTTGGTCAAAGAAAGTTTATCTGCTCCCAGGAATATTTCCTGCTCTGTATGCATCCAGAGGCTGAGGGTGAGAGAAACCTGATGTAGTAGAGCCACAATGGCCTTTTGGACTTGAACCATTTGTAGTTCTAGCAGCTCCTTTTAACCCAGTTAGGGAAAGAAAAGCTCCACCTTTCATGTATTCCTGTGAACATCCTTATCTTGGCTTTGTCCTTGATAGACCTCTTCATGACATCACATGGGAGCTTCTTTCTTATCATTACTTTCCCACACTCGATTTCGCCACTTTCGAAGCCATCAATTTACATGATTGGTACCCATGTTTCAAAAGGCCCAGATCTTTGCTGGAAAAACACCAAAAATACCACTATCAAAAACCACTGTGGAAGACACAGCGAAAGTTGCAGAAGGCTAGAACTGCTGCTTGCCATCAACAACTTAAAGGAGATGCCCTTATGAATCCTTCACTCATTCTTCCTGATCAAACCTTTCTATATGATCACTTACTTCTTGATTTTTACTAGATGTCTTCCAAGTCTGGCCTTGGCAAAAACATCCTGCATCTCAATGGTCTTAATTACACTACTTGGAGCATAATGATGAAAGTGTATTTCCAAACACTTGGAATTTGGGCATATGTTGGCACTGATAATCCTATCCCAAAGCCTGTGGCCAGTGTTGCTGGTGCTGATGCTGCTGCCATGCAAGCTTGGGAAACTTGCAACAATTGAGCCCAGGGTATAATCACCCTTTACTCTGATGGAATGATTGCCTTGGCCATTAAATCTAAAGATACTGCTGCTGCAAAGTGGGCGGATCTTAAAACCAAATATGGATCTCCATCAGCAATGATGACTTTTATGGAATTCCAGCATCTTATTCACATCCAAATTAAACCAAAAGATGACTTCAATGTGAAGATCACCAAAATCAATATGATATTCCAGGCTATTCATGGCCAGGGATTTACTTTGGAGAACAAGATGAAAGCACTTATTCTTGTTCACATGATGACTGCTGCTTGGGACCACGGTCCCATGAATATTTTATCCTCCATTGATCCTTAACAGTTGTCTCCTGACACTGTTATTCCTTGGATGAAAGAACTTTGGGCTCACAAATCCAGTGCAACATCTCTCCCACAAACAATGGGAGAGTCTTCTACTTCTGGAACTCAAATTAAACAAGAATTGAATTCACTCCTTAATCATATGAATAAGCTGCCTTTCTGCCAAATCTGCAGAGGGCACCATAACACTCAGGATCACTGTGGTGGTGGTTCATCTCATGGAAGAGGTGGTCATGGTCAAGGATGAGGACAGCAATGAGGGGGAGCTCCTTATCCTCCTCAAGGGCAGCAGAACCAAGGACAGTCATCCTCTGGTTGTGGTCATGGTCAAAACTGTCACTATGGCAAGGGCAAAGCCTGAGCCAACACTGCTGAGGTTGATGGCCAGGAGGCTGAGGCCTTCTTAACTGAGATTCCTGAGGAGCAAGAACCTCAGGAAACTTACTATGAACTCAATGCTGTGGAGTATAATTATGCTCCTGGGGCCCAGATGCCAACTCTGGATCTTACCAATAATCAAGAAGAGTGTTATCAGAATGCTCTTGCTGCTCGTCTTTCTGAGGGTGCTACCCTTAATTTATCTCATGTTCTCATGCTGACTCCTGAGGGACCAGATGATAAATATACTATCAACCCACATCTTGCTCCTGTTGATAACAACAGAGACATTCTCAACTGGTATCTCAATGCTGTCAAAAATTCTGCTGCAATGGCAGTTGAGTCAGTTACTCCTGCTGTTAATCCACCACATGCTGATTCTCCGTGTCTCTGCTCTATTTGTATTTGTTCCTCAGGGACGATTATTCAGCAAGTGGACTCATCCCCACTGTGACCCTCGAAATGGACAAGTCCATTGTCTAGTCTCAGGCTGGTTTCTGGATGGCAGGAACTGGATTCATGTCACTCCAGAGAACCCAAGGCTTGAGTGGGAGGTGCCACAGTGGCTGAGCAGAGAGTGGGAGGGCAGGTTTCTACTATTCAGAAACCTTCAACAAATTCAAGAAAGGGGAATTGTTGCAACTGTATCACAGTTTCACTGAGATTTCCATAATTCTATTCCAGAAGTTGTAAATCCAACTTTTAGGCGTAGATATTATCCAAGGACTGCTAGCCCAGATCCTTTGTATGACCCTAACAACTCTGCTGCAGGGTATTACCCTGGCGAGTTTGACCATAATGCCAGTGACACTTTTGACTTGTATGCCATGGGTCCAGGAGATCTTCTAGAAAAAGTCATTGAACAAGTTTCTGGACAAACAATCTGGATGTTGGATTCAGGTTGCACTGATCATGTCACTCCTTTTAAGACTGATCTGTTGACCTTTACTCCTTTTTCTCAAAACACTACTGCATCTACTGCCAGTAAAACTCCTGTTGTTTTACATGGGTATGGCACCACTGTTCTTCACTTGCAAACTGGTGGTACTTTAACCTTGCAACATGTTATCTGGAGTCCACAGTTTTCCAAATGCCTGTGCTCCAGAAATGTGCTCTTAAAAGATGGGTACAAGAGCGAAGCAACCAACTCCTCAGAAGTTATTTGAACACCATCAGGCTGGGTTTTACTGACAGCTCAAAAACTGTTCAGTCATTCACTGTTACTTTGGTTTGTGGGCATACTTCTTCCACCCTCCAAGCAGTTTTCAGCCCTTTGCCCTTCAGTCAAGGAAATTCCTTTGTCTACTTTGTGGCATAATCGCTTGGCTCATCCAGTGAATAATATTTTGCACCACTTATGCCATCTTGGTCTTCCAGAGTTGATCTCTGATCCTCCTTCTGCCTGTAAAGGTTGTGCACAAGGAAAAATGGCCTCTGATTCTTTCAAGCCATCATTTAAACATGCTACTACACCTCTTGGTCTTGTTCACACCAACCTTTTGGACCCACCGGTGGAATCTTATTTCCACTCTCACTATGTCCTCACTCTTTTGGATGATTACTCTTCCTTTGGCTTTTGCCTTTACCTTCACAATAAATCTGATGCTGCTGCTCACTTCTCTGCCTGGTTAACTGGCATTGAACATCAGACTGGTGTTTTGATGAAGGCACTCTGTTCAGATCAAGGGGGAGAGTTTTTGGCTGCCACCTTCAAGATGATCCTTTCTTCATGTGGCATCACTCATCAGCTCTCTATTGCTGATCATCCTCAACAAAACAGTTGCGACGAACACTTTAATCGCACAATCTCAGAGAAATCTGGAACCATACGTCACCACGCTCACATTCCTAAATGGTTCTGGAATTTTGCATTTGACTGTGCTTCACACATCTATAATCGCACTCCATTCAAACACATTCTCTTCAAGACTCCAGTTGAGTTATTCTTAGGAAAGACTCCCAATATTACTTATTTCCACACTTTTGGGTGTAAAGCCTACGTCTGGATCCCAAAGGATCAGCAAGGTGATAAACTCGATCCCCATGTGGAAGAGATGGTCTTTCTTGGTTATGAACCAGAAACAAAAGGCTATCATTTCTTGAAGCAACAAAAAATTGTTATTGCAAAAACTGCAAAATTTGTAGAAGACCAATTTCCTTTTTGTTCAAATTTGAAGGAAAAACCTGATAACTTTGGCCCTCAAAATACCAATTCTTCAAATGACCCTTTTTCAAATCCTCCATATCAACCCAGGACTGATCATCCTGATGAGGAACCTATTCCAGTTCTGCCACCAGTGCAATTACCACCTATTCCTAACCCACAACAGGGAGGTCAGGACCACTTGCCACAACAACGACCTCAAAGGCAACCTGTTGCTGGACCACCTCCAGTTGACCCTCATCTAGTAGAGCATCCCCATCAACCTTGGGCAGCTCCTAGAAGAGAACCTCATCCTCAATGAAATATTAATCCACCTGCGCATCCTGGGAATATCTATGGTGACCACAGAAATCCTGTGGAAATTGAAAGAGAAATTCAGGAAAATTATGATAGAGCTCAACAGTGGATTCACAATGTG